TAGTCCAAAATCAAATAATATTTAGCGGGTTGTGGGTTTCGGGGAGCCAAATGATATAAATTGGGTCTTTAAGGGTTAAAGTGTATTTTCAGGACTTATTTTGTAAAGGTTTTAAGTAGTTAGTGGGTGTTTGGTATCATTTGGACTTACATTGAATAGATTATTGGGGGCAGGGACCAAATGGTAAATTCTGGACTTAATTTGAAGAGGTTTTGGATGGTTGGGGCTAAAAGGGTAAATTATGGTATTTAAGTTGAATGGAATGGGCTTGGAGGGGTTGAAGTTGTCAATAGGGCCAAAGATTGAGATGGGGCGGTTGCGTATAAATCCATCACACATGCAACCCTAACCCTAAATTTGATGCAACCGCCAACCTTCTAACCTCCGGCTTCCACTACCCTTTCACTCCTGTTTTCCAATCTGCAACCACTGTAAAGTTCGAAGGAGCCGGGTGTCGTGATGTTGTGGTTGTTTCCGATGGAGGCCCGACCTCCGTTCCATGCAACATTCATCACCACTCCTCCACCTTTCATCCTACTATTGACGCTTCCTCAACAAGCTCCTGCTGTTGGACGTCGTGAGTAGCCAGGAAGAACCACCACGGTGGCTGACCATGGTGGTCGTCGTTGTCAACACCGCTGCCGCTAGTGTGCTGTTGTCGTCACTGCCCGCCATAGGTGGGTGTTGGGTTTATTTTTTTCGAGCAAAAGGATGGGTTTGTAACATAGTGTGTACGATGTAGGGTGTGTATAAGCAACCTTTGGCTGGAATTTGAAAAGAAATCACCACCACCACCATGAAGTGGTGGCTGCCACCTCTAACCACCGCCTGCCACCACAAGGTGGTTGTCAGTGTGTGTTTAGCTTAGCTTAGCTTAGTGTGTGTGTGTGTGTGCTATTTGATATTTTGCATTGTAAAATTGTAATCAGGTAGGAATAATCAAAAGAAAACTGAAAACCACCACCTGCCGCCGTGTTGGATGGCGGTGTGCTTTGTGTGTGTTAGATTTTGTTTGGGATGCTTGGACAAAAAAAAATAGACTAGAACCATAACCACCACCGTGAGGTGGTGGCTGCCGCCATGAGCCGTTTTTGACCACCACTACCCGAGGTGGTTAGGGATGTCAAAAAGTCCCGTGGGGGCCCCGTCCCGTTTGGGGGATTTTTTTAAAAAAAATCGGGGGCGGGGACGGGGGCGGGGGCAAGGTTAACCCCTGTTTTAATTTCGGGGGCGGGGGTAGGCAATCGCGTCCCGAAATCCCCATGGGGACCCCGTTAATAAATTACACATATATTTACATATATTAATTATATAAATATAATAAACAATAACATGATTTTGAGCTTCCAAAATTCATCAAAAAACATGTTTTTAAGTTGTTAGTATAATTTTTTAAAATGCCATAACTTTTTTATTTTTAACATACAAAATTCTACTATAAATAATTATTTGTTACCTAAAAAATAGCTTATTTTAGCCTAAATAACAACTTCTTTTAGCCCAAAAAAAATAGCTCAAAATCAATCGGGGGCGGGGGAACGGGGGCGGGGGTAATAAAGGGGATTCGGGGACGGGGGCGGGGGTAGGAACATTGAACATTCCGGGGGCGGGGCGGGGGCGGGGAATTGGGAAATTTTGGGGCGGGGGCGGGAGATGCACTCCCCGCCCCGTTTGCCCCCGTTGACATCCTTAGAGGTGGTAGTGGGTGGTGCCTGACTAATGTAACCTTAGTGGGCTTAATGAAACCCTAATGGGACCAATGAAGCCCTAATTGACCTAAAAGCCCAAACATATGACTAATGGGCTAGTATTTGGGTTGGAAACCCTAGTTAGAGTTTGGACAACCCTAATGTCTTGAAACCCTAATTTTGGGAATTTGATCGAGACCCGTACTTGAATTATTCAATAAACTTAAAATAATTAATTAATAATCATTTGCAATTAACCTAAGTCAATATTAAACTTAATGGATTAAGTCCTTAATGGGTTAAGTAGGAAAACTTAACCCTAATCGTCATTTCATGTGAAAACCCTAATTTCATGTGGGCCTTGATTTGGGCCTTCCTATTAAGCTTTGGTGAATGCACTATTTATGGATTATCCAAGAACAAGTAAATAGACCAAAATAACTGGATGGGCTTTAGGATAAAGCCCATGTGAAGGACTTGCGCCGAATTAGGAAAATTAGGCAATAAGTGGGCCATAACTGGGCCTTGATGATTATGAGATATTGGGCCGTGGGAATACCAAGAGTTTGGACTAGAATAAATAGATGGGCCTTAAAGAAAGATTATATGGAGGTTTGGGCCAAATTTGGAAAATCGAGCCATATGTTGGGCTTTGGCCCATTACTTAACTATTAGGCCTTTGGAGTGTGAGTTGGACTTTAGGCTTGGAACCCAATTATTAATTGGGTATTATTTGATGTTGACAGTTTAGGAATTTATCAACCAACAGCTGGAGTTTTATCCGTGGGACTTCAGCAGTGCCAGGTGAGTTGTCCTCACTATACTAACTGGGTTAAAGGCACCAATGTCGGCCCTTTTCATATTTGTATCCGGGTTTATTGCATGTTATGCCTTATTATACGTATCTTGGTTATAGGATGGTTGCTATGTTAGAGATCGGTTAGATTGACATCCTGGTTATAGGATGGTTGCTATGTTAGAGATCGGTTAGATCGATATCCTGGTTATAGGATGGTTGCTATTTTAGAGAATTGTTAGATCAATATCATGGTTATAGGATAGTTGTTATGTTAGTAATCTGTTGGATCTGTATAACTACTTGTTTATATGTATGTGCACATGTTTGTTGGTTTGGGGAACGGGTTGAGGCAGGTCCTGTTGTGTGCAGTAGGCCAAGACATCCAGGACGGACCGGGTAGACTGCAGGCCCGGGCCAGGAAAATTTAGTCAGGTCGAAGGCCCAACGAGTGGTCTGGATAGTCTGAAGGCCCTAAGGGGTGGTCCAGGCGTGCCGAAGGCTCGAAGAGCGGTCCAGATAGACTGGGGTCTTATGTTTAAAACTTTGATGTGTGCCCACGAGTTTTTATTTTGCCAACAATAAGACGCGTCCCACATCGCCAAAAATAAAAAGTATCCACACTTTTCATCTCTTATATTAAGTGTAGGCATCCCACATCATCCAAGATAAGAAAACATCCATATCCTTAACGTTATATAATGATTCATCATTTCTCATAGAGTTAGATTGGGATTAGCATTGAGTTTGAGTTTAAACCCGAAACCAAACCATTAAAATACCAAAAAACGAGAAACCAAACCAATGGGTTTGGGTTTAGGTTTGGGTATAGGTTCGATGCTAACTATTTAAAAATCAATGTTGTGGGTTTGGGTTCGATTTTAGGTTAAAACCGACCCAAACAAATCTATGCTCACTCCTGATATATAGTTGTATTTATAAGAGATCCATTTTTGGACGTATTTTCATCGAAGAAATATCACTTTGGTTGAAAATTTGTTTGAGTTTTTCCACCTAGGATGGTTGAGTTGAGTGTTTTCCATGCACTCACAGGTATGTTCTTGAAACATTTTATTGTTAAACATACTCGAAAACGAAGGATCAATAATTACTTATTTGCATCGTGAGTACGTCCTTGAAGCCATAATGGTTGCTCATTGTTCGTAGAACCTTTGGACTAAATCCTCACTAATGAATAAATATTTTTTTGCTACATGTCACATTATCATTTATTTTGCTACATGTAAGTTTGTTGTTATTTTAAATTAATTTTTATTTCATATGTCATTTTATTGTTTTTTTTCATTTTATTAAGTTGTAGACAGTATTTATATTTCAATAATAAAGGCATATCAATTTCATTAATAAACTTTCCTTTTAATTTCAAAATTACCAAATTAAAGATTCGTTGATTTTCTTTATTTATTTATCTAAATTATTTGTTTAAATTTAAAAGAGAAAAAAAAACATTTTAATTTTTATAATCGATATTTTTTTCATCTTTCTTAAAAATTCATATTTTTTAAATGTTTAGAATTTTATATTTAGTTTTTTTTAATAAACTCATATAACATATCAGTTTTACAGCTAATAGATCACACCTAAGAATAAAATAATGAGAATAAAATTTAAATATGTTCTCTCACTCACGAGTTGCAAGCATATGTTTGTGGGGCTTATGATCATTTTATTAAATAAAGGAGATGTAGGTTAGGAAAAATATATAGACCTAATACATGATATTTCCGTGAATAACTACAAAATATATTACTTACATTAGTAGCGATACATAATTTATCCTCAAAGATACTAGTCGAGTCAAATGTCACTCATGATATGTCTTTATAATTGATAAAATAAAATTCTGATTCTCCAAATCAGCTTTTCAAAAATACCCTTCCTTTTTTTTAGATTTGTCTTCTATCATCCTATCATCATTGTACAGTCCATTTCAACACCTTCCACCCCCATGCATACATTATATTATTTAAATTTTTTATGTTTTCTTTTATTATTTATATTTAAAACTATATATATTTTCATGAGAATTCGAATAAGAATAGGTCCCTAGATTTTCCTAATGCAATTGATCTCTAGCTATACTTAAACTTGGTATCAAATCCGTTACATCCTACTCACAAATCACACATTCCTAGTTTTAATACTAATTTTTTGTTAACTTCGGAATCTTATAACTATCATAATTAAATTAAAATATCTAATGATTGATTATATACTAATCATTATATACTTTTTCTCTAGTACGGTAAATTTTATAAAGTAATTGGTTTAATTGGTTGTTTAATATGCATTTTATTGGATTGGATAAATGGTTGAGTCTCACTAGGTAAGATTTAATTCCACATTTTAAAGCAACTTATTGTCTTGTCTCATTTTAAATGTCTATTACTCATTAAGATAGACCTTACATGCCTCTTGGTGAAATACAAGGATTAGTCTTACTTGGTTAGACTTTAAGTATGTTACACATTAACTCTCAATAAATCAACATGACTCAATCACCAACTAAATCCTCTTAAATTTGAACATATGTCAAAGATCCCATAAGATCAAATTTGTGGGTTTTCTCTAGATTCGTCCATATTTCTTAACACAATCAACAATCTTTAACCATTGTGGTCGATGCCATTTGAAGTGGGATTAAACAAAATCGGATAAAGGTACAATCTTTAATGCACAATATACAAATTCCAAAAGGGTCATCATGACAAATTTAACAAAGCACTCGCCAGTGACCTTTTCCAAATAAATGTTCCCTGTTCCACCATTCTTTGTAACAGTATATAGGAATATTAAGAGGGGGCTACAGAGAGATGCCAAAGTAGATTTTCTTTTTCGCCATCAAAAAACCCCACATCAACACACAGTTTATTTTCAATTTCATGTAAACAAATTAAAGCTTCAATTTTCATGTCTATGTCCATTGAAGAACATGATTATATAGGGTTGTCAGAGGCAAACATGGAGAAAAAAGCCTGTGATATAACCGATAATAAAGATTTGAATTTAAAGGCCACTGAATTGAGACTTGGGTTGCCTGGTTCGGAGTCGCCGGAAAGAGAGGCTGTTAACGGTGGTCCAATCAAGAATTTGGTGGCCGGAGCTAAAAGGGGTTTCTCCGATACCATTAATGGTGGTTCGGGGAAATGGGTTTTCGCTGGTAAGGGTGGATCTGAGGTTGATTTGGTTAAAAATGGCGGATTTTTTTCATGTTCGAAAGTTGAAAACAAGAACTCCGGTTGTGTAAAAGAGACTGCTGTTTTGGCTTCTCCGAAGCCTGTTTTACTTGAAAACAAGTCTCAAGTTTCTGTAAATGCAAATGTTCCTGCTCCAAAGTAAGGATTTTTACGTATGATTTTCAATTTTAAGTAGCTTTCGAAGTTCGAACTAAATTTGATCTCAAAATTGTTTGCCTGAAACTAGTTTAGATATTGAGTTACTATCGGAGTTCGAAAGTTGTTTGATTGACTTTCAAAGTCAGCTCTTTCAAGAATCATGGAATCTAATCATGCAATCTTTTTTCCTTTTAATTTACCATATAATTTGTTATGAGTTTTGCATGGTTTCTTGAATGAGATTTTTGATCCATGGTTTCTAGAAAGTCCACTTACTAGTTTGTGGAATTCAATATTAACCCTTACAGTTCTCATTTTGCAACTCCAAAATGTTTTAATTTCATATAAAATATGTGATCGATCAAATTTCATTTATAGTTTTATGCAAACGAAAATTACTCTCATGGATAATCAAAGTTAAGCGGAAACTCATTTGACAATTTGACATCAAAAAGTCAAACATACCAATTTTGCATGCTTTTTCTTTCTAATTAAATATTTATTTACTTTTTCGTGGATTTATATGTGTAGGCAACAAGTTGTAGGATGGCCTCCAATTAGATCCTTTCGTAAGAACACCATGGCTGTTAGCCAAACGAAGAATCAAGAAGATAAGGATCCAAAAATGGGTTCGGGTTGTCTTTATGTGAAGGTGAGCATGGATGGAGCTCCATATTTGAGGAAAGTGGATCTCCAGATGTACTCTAGCTACTTGGATCTTTCTTCGGCTCTTGAAAAAATGTTTAGCTGCTTTACAATTGGTAATCTCATTTGATTCTTTGATACATCTTTTATGCCATATATGTTATCTAAAATAAATTTGAAGGACGACTTTTGGCATATATGCTAATCCATGTCGGCCGAATATGAAAAATATTGTCATGTAAAAGTAAAGTTGATGATGCTTGTGAGTTGTGACCTTAGTGGACTTAAAGAGAGTAAGTGCGAAGAGACTTTGTCTTTCTGATTAGGATTGGGTAAAATAGTAAAAGATAGAGAGTAATATGGATAAGTTGGATTTGAGTCTCAGCAACCTTAATGCGTACCCAATTTACACATAATTAGGATTCCTAATTATTGGAAGAATAACTTTTTTTCGATAGAAACATGGACATTTGTAACGTGTAGGAGTGAAGTGGTAGTTTTTCTTGACAAATATGTTCACGTTTTATATGTAAGTTTACTTTCGGTGTATTTGGGCCACGTGGGCTATATATTATTAAAGAAAAAACAATATAGTAGTATATGGATAATTATGTGGGTATGGGTCTATGGGCTGGGTCTCTTGGGCTTATCATTGAAGTAACGTCTTTTCTTTGCACTTTCATGATTTGGATCTTAGATATTAATTCTATAATATGTTATGTACCATACTTTATGTTTCGTCCTTTCTTAAATCTGGAGAATCATTCCGTATAAAAATATGAAACACTATATTTTAATATATTTTGAAATATATGCATGTGTTTGAAGCATAATGAAGTCGATTATGATCAAATTTTCAGGTCAATATGGTAGCCATGGAGCCCACACAAGAGACGGATTAAGTGAGAGTCGACTAATGGACCTACTTCATGGTTCTGAGTATGTACTGACCTATGAAGATAAAGATGGCGATTGGATGCTCGTAGGTGATGTTCCATGGGAGTAAGTTCCAATTCCCTTAACACAGTTGGTTCCATAATGGTATGGTCAAGGGTATGTCTGGCATTTGGGTTGGGTTCGAGTTGGCGGGTTATGGATTAGCGAGTTGGCGTGTCAGAATACACTGACTCAACCCAACCCATATAATATATGGGTTGGTGAGTTGAAAACATCAACCCAACCCAACCTAAATAACCAGTATAAATATATGGGTTCGTGGGACAGTGGGTCGAAGCCAACCCGTATAACCCATTTAATAAGCAAACACATTTTAAAATGAAATTAAAAAATACAAATAAAATGAAATCATAAAATTTTAAATATTCAACATAAAGTCATAAACAAGAGTGACGACGAGTGGTGTGCGACAGCCGGAGGACAAGAAGACGAGTGGTGTGTGTGCAACACTGCGATAGTCGATGACTCAATTGATGGAGACGAGAAACATGGAGTTGTGAGTTTAGAGAGTGAAGACTTAATTTCTTTTTTATTAGGGGCTAGGGGACGCTAAGTCAACTCGAAGATGTTTTGCAATTTTTGAATTCGGAAAACGATTAAACGATAATCAAATATTCAAAACTAATAAATAATTAAAAATATTTTTTTAACATTATATATATATATATATATATATATATATATATATATATATATATATATATATATAATCGGGTTGGTGAGTTGACCCGCAAACCCAAACAGGTAACCTAACCCAACCCATGAAATAAACGGGTTGGCGGGTCAAAAATCTCAACCCAAACCCGTTTATTTTCGTATTAGGTCAGTGTCGGGTTACGGACTTGATCGAGGATGGCCACCCCTAGTCAAGGGTTTGAATCTCATCAATCATAAGTGTCGAAGTTCTAATTTCAATATGAATTTGGCTCTTTGTGGTCAACGACTCCTTATTCTGGCACCTTGTGGGCCAAAGTTTACCTCTCATACATGCTCCTGATACGGGGCAGTGTGGGTCAGCTCAAGAAGAATAACCGTTTTGCAAATACATTAATAAATTAATTGATACTGATGTCGAAAACCCTAACGAAATTTCATTGATGCAGTATGTTCATTGGCTCTTGTAAGAGGATGAGGATCATGAAAAGTTCAGATGCAATTGGCTTAGGTAAAATCTTGATATGATTCTTGATTTTTCATCTAAAAATCAAGAAACCTAAAATCTTGATTATTCAACTAAAAAGCAAGAACCCCACAAATCAATGGTTTCTCCGATATGATTTTTTGTCAAGATTTGAATAAAAAAATTAGTTGTATTGTTTGATGTCTTGTTTTGCAGCCCCTCGAGCGATGGAAAAGTGCCGAAACCGAACTTAGAACAATAACGACCAAAATTATGTTTGTGTAAAGATCAATTCTCTTGGAAGAATTCCAATGGGGTCTTGCTCTAGAAAGGCTGGAAACAAAGCTTTAATTTGGATTCTAAAGTCTTCAAATTGTATTATATTAATACTTGTGTTGAGTGTAACTAGAATAGTAATGCCATTTAGGCAAAAGACATGTATTACATCTATGACTTCTACAAATACTTGCTATGTTTCTTAATTTTAATATATGTTGAAAAGGGTAAGCCTCGAATATGTATTTTATGATATTTGTATCCATAATATGAAGATTTTAGTTTAGGTGAAGTAAAGTTGATATAGGAGGATTAAATATTGTAAAAGTCTGGGGTAGAGCTACAATAAGTGGAAGTACAAGTGTATGGACTTTGCGAGTATGTTGTAGAAGTGCAAGGGCTTGGGGAAATCTTTTGGGTGTTGTCATGGCAGTTGAAGTTAGTTAGAATTGTAAAATAAGGTGCTGTAAAGTAAAGATATGAAAATGTAAGTAATATATATTATATAATAAGTAGAACTACACATTATATTAATGATCTTAAACTTAATTGATGTGGATATATAAAAACAATGTACGGTTATTTTGGGTCTTACAATGAAGTTTAGGTTCTAAGTGTGAAAGTATACAAAAATCTTTTGACTTTGGATATTTAAATAGATATACACATAGGTGTCTTCAAATCCAACTTTTAATACCAATTAGTTCTTAAGAAAAAAAAAAATAGAAAAAAAAATGTTCGAAAATAGAAGTATTTAGCTTTTATTTTAAAAAAAAAAACTTATAATTTAAAAGCTATTTTATGTAGTTTTTTGTTTTATCTAATAATGCACATTTAAAAACTAAAAGCTACTTTCACGTATTGGTTATATTGATAACCAAATCATAAACATGCGGAAACATAAACTAAAGATTTTTATCTTGAATCTAATTAAAAGAAAACTTAAACAATAAAAAACGATTAAATATCTGCTTCTTTATGATCTTCGGATCAGGAGATTATGATCATCTTCCCAATTGATATTAAGACTGCCTCTAAAACCCCTCAACAATGTCTCACGAATTTCTTTGTCTAATTTGGTGTGTTTTGATCTGCTCCTTATATATATATATATATATATATATATATATATATATATATATATATATATATATATATATATATATATATATATATATATATGCTCTAATGTGAGAGATAGAAGGGATCTTAAAGATTTTGAATCAAATCGGAAACTCAAGCAACAAATAATAAGTGAATATGGATCTATCAACAATCTTATACACTTACCATAATATTTATGAATTTAAATGATAACAATATACATGTGCATTTATAAAATGGTTCCATAAATATAAAACAATATCCTACTGGACCATGAATATATAAATTTACATATGACCGTATAAGCATTTTAATATATGTTATCATAATATTGTTACCCTTAAACAATCTTGTCTATTAATCATAATTGTATAGGATTAAAGCAGTCTTTGTTACAATTTACGTAACTAAATTTATCAATGTCACATATACATATATAACTAATTACATAGATTAAACATGATGTGTGGTTTAAAAAAAAATAAAAAATAAAAATAAAATAAAAATAAAAATAAAAATCTAACGAGTTTTTCTTAAGCTTGAATTGAGATCAAACTTCAAATAAATGCAACTAATAATAGAATTAACCGGATTTTTAATTCTATACAGAAAAACATAATTGTTCTTAAACGAAACATAAACCATCATAAAACTCCCACTAAGACTAATGAAAGACCTAGGGCGGTAATCCTTTTATGAATGGATCTGCTACATGGAGTTTGTTTAAATGTATTTTTATAAATATTTGTCCATTTATAGTATTTTTTTAACAACCAAAAACTTGATGTCAATTTGCTTTGACTTAGTAGAACATTTGTTGTTGCTAGAAGCCAACTTACTGTCACAACTTTAGTGGTCTTTCAATAACAATAATAGACAACCACGTGATAAATCTTTGCAACCATATTCTATGATTTGATGCCTCAAAACATGTTGTAAATTATGTTTCCATCAAGGAAGAAGTTATCAAAGTCTATTCCTTTAATTGGTTTAACATACTATCATGTAAAAGTATCCCGATTATGAATCGATAACCATTTTGGAATCCAATAAAATCATACTCAAATGATATCCAAAACATCTGATTTTCTATATTTGAGCATATAGCCTTTTAATCTTTATAGATATTTTCAAACCCCATTTGGTTGCTTTCCAATGATCTATATTTGGGTTGCTTAAATATTTTGTAACGACATAAATTTCAAAACCAATTTTTTTCATTTTTACAATCATCAAGAACATCGAGTAATAAATTTAGGTTCCAATGTAAACAATATAGTCACGACCAATTACATAACAAAGATCACAGAATGGTTTCCCCGAGTGTGTGTACGATCACGTCGGCGCCTTCCCACGGTCCTCGCTAGTACCTGAAACACATAACACAACAACTGTAAGCATAAATGCTTAGTGAGTTCCCCAAAATACAACCTACGCACATACGCCTTTCCAGGCCCTAACCTTCCGGTCCATGTGTCTCAGGGGACTTCCGTCCCGCCTGGGTAAACCTTCCGGTCCTACCCACGTCAACCTTACGGTCCATATTACCACGCCTTCCAGCCCATAACATATTGACTTCCGACCCATATCAAGCATATCATACATGACACATATAACGAATAACCTATTACACATAAAGCATATATCTCATATCATATTCGACCTTCCAGTCACACAGTCAAACCCTTCCGGGTACAGTATAGTGAGAAGACTCACCTCGTATGTATCGATAACTCATGAACCCTGGAAATCACTCGTGCTCGAACCCCCGAGTTGTAATCCTCCTATGATATCATATATCTATAATTATTACTTGTACCACTAAGGTTGACCATCCTTATCAAGTCAACACTAGTCAACTTGGTCAACAGTCTTTGGTCAAATTGACAGGACTCGGCGAGTCTACGCGTTTTCTCCAACTCGCAAGGATTTTCCCTTTGACTTATCGAGTACTCCCCTGACTCGATGAGTTCCACCTGGGCATGAATCACGAGGCCACCGCGACTCAACTCGCCGAGTCGCAAGGATAACTCGGCGAGTCCCAACTCGACTCGGTCCACCTGTCAAAAACCTTTCTAACTCTCTGTGACTCACTGAGTCACCCACAACTCGGCTGGACTACACACTGGGTGGTCTCAAGGACAATCTTCAAGCGACTCGTCGAGTCTGTTCTTCAGACTCGGCGAGTCCATGCCATGCATCAGCTAAAACTGGCTTTTGCGGTCAGATCCGTTCCATACACCCATAGATCTGGCCTTCCCAAGCTCATTTATCATGTAAAGTCTCAGTCTTGGTCGCCATGCAACGCATACAAGGCTCATTTTGGAGAAATAACCTCTAATATGGCAACCCTAGCATCCAACTCAAAAGAATGGACATAAAGCTTGTCATTTGGGGCCTTCTGGACCTGCTAAGGTCCAGATCTAGGTTCCATATCTCCATGGGACCTTTCTGATGGGTTTTAGCCATAAGAACTTTCCTATGTGCGCATGCAAAACCCTATTGCTCGGATCTAGGCTTTCTAATTAAACATGCTTTGAATCCAAGACTTCTAATAGCTAATTAGGTTAAATAACAATGATGAAACAGATCTAGAATCATACCTTTGAGTTCCTTGTTGATCTTGTTTGTCTTGGAGCTTCTAGAGTCACAAATGTCACTCCTCTAATGGCTTACAAACACCAATAGCAAGCAAGATGATTTAGGAGAGAGGAGAGAGGAGGAATTCGGCCAGAGGTTCCTTGCTTTAGGTTGTGTGTCATTCCCTCACCCCTAGGGTCTATATATACTTGTAGACTCCTTAAGGATTACCACTTAAACCCTAATTGGATAATCTTCTCTTAAGGCTATCCAAATCCATTCCATAGATAACCCTATGGACGATTTTGGCTTATCCAAGCCCTAGAAATCGTCCATCCTATCTAGGATAAGGATTTACAGTCTAAAGTGTAACTATCAAACAATTGACAGTTTATACCCTCTTATTTAATTAATCTCTTTAAGTCACCAAATTAATACCAATTAATTTATGACTTATATTAATCAAATAGCCATATATTATTCCTTATAATATTTACTCTCTCTTAACAAATCATCCTTCAAGTTGCTATGGTGAAGGCAACCCAAAAGGACCATGCACAACCGGATATAGTTATAGCCTTAGACACTATTCCAACAGTCTCCCACTTGGATAAGTCTAGTAACTATACAAGTACAATTCGGTTTGCAATCGTAGCTCTCAAAGACGCTGTCAACTCTGATCTAATCAATCTTTTCCTTTAGATAAGGGATCGTACAGTCCTCTGTTAGATATCATGCTGACAATCCTATGGAATGGTTAGTCATGCATTTAAATTTCTCGATCTCCGATTTATTCGACATAGAACTTAATCGAACACATCAATTTAGTTCTGACCGGGCATGTGTTCTAGATTTTGGGGGCAGTTGGGATACGTATCTTCCGTTAGCGGAATTCTCGTATAACAACAGTTATCATGAGAGCATTGATCGACCTCCTTTTGAGATGTTATACGGCAGGAAGTGCAGGACCCCGATTTGTTGGGGCGAGGTCGGTCAGCGAGTTATAGGGAGCACCGAAGTGGTGCTCAAGACGACGGAATTGATCCAGCAGGTCCGTAGTAGGCTGCAGACTGCGCAGAGTCGGCAGAAGAGCTACGCCGACAGGAGGCGTTCGGACTTGGAGTTCCAGGTGGGAGATATGGTTCTTCTGAAAGTCTCACCTTGGAAAGGTGTCATCAGGTTCCGGAAGAGGGGCAAATTGGGCCCCAGATTTATTGGTCCCTTCAGGGTTTTGGCCCGGGTGGGTCGGGTTGCTTATCGGTTAGATCTTCCTGAGGAGCTTAGTCTAATACACAACACCTTCCACGTGTCGCAGTTGAGGAAGTGTTTGGTGGATGAGACAGCAGTCGTTCCCTTAGAGGACATTCAGGTTGATAGCGGCCTAAATTATATCGAGAAGCCGGTCGCGATTCTGGAACGGAAGACCAAGACCTTGAGGAACAAGGTAATTCAGCTAGTAAAGGTGCAGTGGCAGCACCGGAAGGGGTCTGAATGGACGTGGGAGGCTGAGGAGGAGATGAGAGCGCACTACCCGGAGTTATTTGCAGATCCAGCCGTAGCAGACTTCGAGGACGAAGTCTGAGACAAGTGGGGGAGAATTGTAACGACCCGTTCCCGGTATGTTGATTTATTGGTAATTATAGTGAGTTTTCAAGAGGGACTCGGCGAGTTCTAGCCTGACTCGCCGAGTAGGGTCGCGTCTGAGGGCACGCGTGAGCCGGGGACTCGACGAGTCCATATCCCCGACTCGGCGAGTCCATCTGTCTGGGTGAAACCCTAAAATCCCCGGGTTGCCCACTATTTATACCACCTTATAGCCCCCATTCTCGCCTCCCTCACCCTGAGAACGCAGTGATAGAGCCCCAAACCTCCA